ACTTTAACAGTCGTTTTTTAAGTAACAACCTCAAAGACCGATGTACCAAAGTAGTATATGGCCCCATACCAAAAACTCGGCATACATCAATTGGTATAGTTGGAGGTTACACTTCAAAAAGACAAACTGGCAAAAGTATGCAGACATGCTAGATTCTGAGCTGCTACATCTTGAAGCAAAAACAGAGAACTACGAAAAATTTGTAGAGGTACTCAAAAATGTGTCTAGAAAAACTATCCCTAAAGCGTATAGACAACAATATGTTCCCGGGATGTCCAGCGAGTCCAAAGAACTAATAAGAACATACGAAACCCTCTATTTCACTGACACTTTTAGCCAAGAAACGGTTGACTGCGGAGCACTACTACTCCAACAGCTAAGTCAAGCCAGACAGGAAAAGTGGATTGAGATCCTGGAATAAATGGACACATAGTAGCAAAATAGCATCATCATCATCATCATCATCATCCAGCCTCTATTTATCACGTCCACTGCTGGACATAGGCCTCCCTTAAACTTCTCCATTCCTCACGATTTTGTGCTCTTTGTTGCCAATTTTTAGTGATACGTCTGATGTCGTCGGCCCAACGTGTAGGTGGTCTTCCTCTACTGCGTTTGTCTGCTCTTGGCCTCCAATTTATAATTTTGCTCGTCCATCGTGAATCGTGCATTCTCGCTACATAGCCTGCCCAGTTCCATTTTAGTTCCGCTATGCGTTCCACAACATCAGTAATACTCGTCCTTCTTCGCAGATCTTCGTTTCTTATTCGGTCCCTCAACGTCACTCCCAGCATAGACCGTTCCATTCGTCTCTGTGCCACTCTCAGTTTCGAAGCCGTGGTCTTGGTTAAAGTCATAGTTTCCGCCCCATAAGTCATGACCGGTAATACGCATTGGTCAAACACTTTTCTTTTGAGGCTGATTGGTATGTTGGCCCTAAGTGTGTCTCGCAGTTTTCCAAAGGCTGCCCATGTTAAAGTAATTCGTCTTTGGATCTCACATGTTTGGTTATCCCTGCTGATTCTTATTTCATGACCCAAATACGTATATTTCTCCACCAGTTCTACCACTTTGTCTTGAATAGTCAAATGGTTATTGGGGACCAAATTTGTCATAAACTTAGTTTTGGTCAAGTTCATTCTCAGGCCCACCTTCGAACATGCAAAATCCAATTCGTTTATCATATCTGTAGCTTCTTCTAAATTATCTGTAATAAGGACAATGTCATCTGCGAAACGAAGATGGTTGAGCTTTTCGCCGTCTATCGTTACTCCTCTGTGGTCCCAATTGATCATCTTAAAGGCATATTCTAATGCCGTTATGAATAATTTCGGCGACAATGTATCTCCTTGCCTTATTCCACGATTTATTTGTATTGGTCGGGTTTTATTGTCTATTTTAACAGTCACAGTGCCATTTTTGTAAATATTATAAATAAGCTCACTATAAATATGGTCAATCCTGCTGTCATTCATGGCTTCTACAAGGCTGTCTAATTCGATCGTATCGAACGCTTTATGAAAATCTATGAAAGTGAGAACAAAGTGAGAGCAAAATAGCATGGAACCTTGTAAACAAACTTAGTTGTGATCCAAAGGAATATAAGCCGCCTTGCAAGGTTACAGCAAACCAAGTCACTGCTCAACTACTTATGAATGAAATAACTAAGAACCGATATAAGGACCAAACTAGGAAACGATAGGATTCGGAGACAAACCACCTAGGAACTATTTTTACACTAAAAGAACTCGACGACGGTATGAACAAATTTAAAAATGGGAAAGCTGCAGGTGTGGATGATATATGCAGTCAACAAATAAAGCATCTAGGCCAAGAAGCAAAAAACTGGATCTTGAAATTTTATAACACGTGCTGCAAAACCTGCTAAATTCCAAAATCATGAAGGAAATCTAAAGTAATAGCCTTGTGAAAACCAGGAAAAAACCCACAAAGCCCCAGTAGCTACAGACCTATTTTGCTGTTGTGTCACTTTTTCAAACTAAACGAGAGACTTATACTCGCCAGAATAGAAAAAATGTCGACAAGCACCTAATCCCACAACAAGGAGGATTCAAACCCAGCAAATCTTGCACCGGTCAAGTCCTTGAGCCACCACGTATTTTTCAAGAGGTTGGTGGATCTCTTCAGCCGTCCCTCCAGATTCTGCAAGTTGTTGACCAAACTATACGGTCACAAGCAAAAGACGGAAACATCAGCTGAATTTATCACAGTCAAGATGGCCCTATTCAACAGAGTGTCACCACGCACTCTGGAAGACGACCGTTGCAGCATAATCGTCGACCAACTACGTCCAGAGATCAGACAATACCTGCGACTCAACCCACCAAGGACTAAGGAAGACCTCCGTCGAGTAGTGTACGAGCTGGAGATGGACATCCGAGCCATCCCGATGCCCCTCTCAACCAGTCAAAGACAGGAGAGGCCAGCGCCCAGGCCTTACCGTCCGCAGCAGTCCCTGCAGGACCGTTCGTTCCAAAACCAGCAACGACAAGACCAGAGACAACCTCGAAAGTCCGAGACGATCCAGGATTGGTGACGTAGGAGAGACCGCAACAACCAAAACCATCACGACAGCTATAACCAGCCTGATGATCAACAAGAAGCTCGTCCAGCTTCTCCTATCTATTTAAACTACATGGAGATGGAAGACACCACTTCAAACCACATGGAGATGAAAGATACCACTCCACCACCTCAGCTGAACCACCTGGAGATGGAAATCACCTCTGCACCACCGCCACAGCTGAGCCTCACGGAGACTACACCTCCACCACAGCCACAGGCCTCCATGGAGACAACAATTACTCCATCACCTGAGATCTCCACCAAGACAACAGCTCCACCCTCACCACTCCCAAAGATTTCCGCCGAAATCGACTCCACGAAGATCGAGGTCCTGATAGACTCCGGGGCCAACAGAAACTCCATCAAACTAGACCTAATTAAAGAGATGGTGACAGAGGAGTCCGCCGAGGTCCGACTAGCAGCTCAAAGACACTCAATTAAATGCCGAAAACCAATCGACGTCGTTTTCAACGACAAATTTACAAGTAGAGTCCGATGCCACACCGTAGAAATCCTACACCACGATATGGTTCTTGGCATGCCATGGATGGAATCCGAGGACGTTATTATCAACTTCAGAAAGAACTGCCTCCATGCAGGGATTTCCAGCCGCCAGATCCTATCCTGGGGGACGCCAGAAGACTCAAGCAGCAGAAAACCGTACAAACACGAAGCAGGCATGATGCAATCCAAGACATCCCTGATAACGATGTCCACCAGCCCGCTGACGAAGCCCCTTAGACGGCCGTCGAATTATCCGATCCCGGACCAGCCGACCCAGGGCAGTCAGCCCGCAAGTCTACAAGAGCAACAGCAGTCAAAGCTGTTCGTAACGGCGCATCACCACCTGGAGGAGTTGAGAAGCCCTCAGCACCACGAGCCAGAGACCCGCTACTACATCTGTATAGATCACCGAGAGTGAAATGGTGCCGCAGAAGACAATAATATTTTTTTTTATTCTAACAATCATTTTTAATTTTATAATATATATATATATATATATATATATATATATATATATATATATATATACATATATATATATATATATATATATATATATATATATATCTTCTCGGACACGAAAGAAAGATCACAGGAGACAACCAAACATGCGAACTACGAAGAAGAATAAACCTATTCCCCAAACGGGAAGCCTACTGAAAGACATCTTTAAAAGCGATGTACCAATTTCTTTAAAGCGTAAAACATTTGGCCAATGTGTGTTGCCTGTAATGACCTATGGTGCCAAAACCTATGTTAAATAGTGCGGGTGACAGTATGCAACTCTGTCGAACTTCTTTTCCGACTATGAAGATTATGTACAGTTCATTTTTAAATCGCACTGTTGCTTTTTATGGGAGATATACGTTTGAGATTAGTCTTATTTCCTTGCCATCGAGTACTAATATTTGTAGGATATCGATTAGTTTCCCATGTTGTACTTTGTCAAATGCTTTCTCGAAATCGATGATCAAACATGCAAATACATCGCAGTTGACATCTCTGGCTTTATGTATTAAAACTTGCAAACTAAAAAGCGCTTTGCTCATTCCGAGTCCTGCTGTGAATCCAAATGGAACTCATTAAATGTAGCTTTGGTTTTTTTGGCATTTTGGGTTATGAACTTTGAAAATAAGGCTATTATCGACTACAAGTTAATTAAATCTAGCCCAAGTACTTTCGCTTAAAAAAGCATCTTCAGGGGCATTTCGTCAAAATGTGAACTATTCGGCAAGCGGATAGTTCACATTTCACATTCTACGCTTGCCGGATAGTTCACAT